CCACGTCACTTAAAAAAACAAATCTCAGAAATAACACAATATGCCGATTTAAATCTTTGCAATACACATACACTTATGCACAAGCAACGACAATGATAACAATAACAACAACAATTCGATGACAAGCATGACAGTGACAGTTATAGTTTTTTGCGTTAGAATTGGCGCCATACTCTTTTTGTATTGTGGAGATATATTTATTATGGTTTCAGTATAATATAGAAAAATAATGTTTCCCGATATTTTTGATAGATAATTAATAAAGCCATGAAGCCAAGCCACAATAAAAAAATAAATAAATAGTCAATTGTGTTTCCCTTTTATAAGTGTTTAATTCCAGACTTAGACAACCCTCCTCAATTGTTTAATAAATCTTTTGAGATTATTTTATTAACATTTCTGATAATGACATCTATAGACGCTAAAGATTTACTTCATCAAATATTTCGCCATTGTCCTTTGACAGCAGTATATCCTTATCATTCTCTCTATAGAATGAAAAGGAGAGACTGATGTTAAATTTAGTTTTAGGTTTAGAGAATCACGCCAGAATTGGCACCACTGTAACTTTTTGTAAAGGTGTTCCGGGTTCTTAAATTTTAACAGATCAAACATAAATACTGTCAAAGCTAGATGCTGGCTTGACTCCATATTCAATATTTTTTTTCACAACAATTGATTTGATAAAATTACATAATATTCAACATCGATTACTGTTGGACCCACCTGTTGGAATTAACACCGTGGATTTATCCAGCTTATATCACACCACGATACCTACATACGTCATCATATTGTTAAGTGCACTTGCACTTATTAGTGTGGCCTACTACCTGAGACGACGTACGAACCAACAGCGAGTTAAATCTACACAGCCTCAAAAAACGGAAATGGCATCAGCGGGTTCTTCACCACCCATTGAAGAAAGAAAAGCCGCAACATTTGCTCTCAATCTTCGCAAATAGTTGCTCGTCTAGGAGGGGAGGTGTTACGAGAACAAAACTCGTCTACGTCACTCATACGTCACGCATACATTATGTGTTGCCCAAGTGCAGGTGGCTCGATTGAGTAATTGTGTTAAAAATTTCTTATTAGACAGATTTAGTTCATGTAAAACCTTCGGACAGTTTTGGGAATCTCTTGTGCTTCAATCATGGAAGCATCTGGGCGTATAGTTTTAAGACCTGATCATCAAGATCACCGAATATAAATGCGTTTTATCTAAGAATATTACCGACTGGGCGCCATATTTTGATGTCATAGCTGTCAATTCAAACCAAATAGGTAGAGTGAGCAAAAAAAGATTTTATTTAAAAAACAACAAATTTTTAATAATATTTATTTATTGAGACTATTTGAGAAAAAACATAAATCAGAATCAATTTCGCTCATCTCTACATTACCGCTGGAGTAGTTATATGAATAATCATGCACTATTACTAGGTCACATACGAACATGCAACCTTTAGGTAAATGAAAGTTTTAAATTGAGTTTCTGAACGCAACTTAAAGTGACATTGGGTTGAAGGGTTAGGTTATCACATAAATAAGAAAAAAATATCAACCAATATTAATTATCAATATTTGTTATTGTTTGTTTACAAATGTGTGGTTTTTATTCTAGAATTAGCTGAGTGCTAAAAAAGTACTTAAAAGTTTAATTTTTAAAAACCTCACCTGACGGCTCAATTCCCTAATTCACTCCTGACATTATTTTGAAAACAAAATATTAATTTTACACTAAAGACCACAATTAACTAAAATTACCGGCTGATTAGATTTGATCAATTGTTATTTGTCATCACCACCGTAGGTATGTAAACAAATTCAATAGATAGGAAGGGGATTCCCGCAGCGCCGTGCATTTCGTCTCGCTCGTACAACCATAGACTACTAAAAATAGGCTGCTTTACGATTCACACCAAAATCTCTGATATCGCTTGTGCCACATTCCCGTTCCGAATCAAATCTAATAAGCGCAAAATTTAAAATGATTTTTTTTTATGGCGAGGTAGGCAAATGACTCTACCCCACCTGATGTTAAATGGTGATAAGATAAAGTGATAAATTAAATTATTTACAATTTGTAACTTCAGATGGGTCATTATCAAAGGCCCGGCGGGCCGCAAGTTGAGTATAGCTGTACCCCTAACACGAACCAATCGAATTCGAATAGTTTGCAAACCGAAATGTCAATGTCAAATTTTGTATGGAAACTTGAACAGCAGCGGCACAAAGTACGTAGAACTAAAAATCGTATCAATCGTATTCGTCTGACGTAGGATGTCTTTAGTCGATACTTTTTATTACAGTTGCGGCGAATACTCGCTCTTATTCGGTATTCGGCATTACTCGACATTTTTTTGATATTCGTCGAATACCGAATAATAGTCGTCTAAAATTAACTTTTAACGAACAAAAAACTAAAGAGTTAAAAATAATCATCTTTTTTATTATTTTCCCTAATAAAACAATACACAATATCAATTATTATCTGTAATATGTGCCTGTGCCTATCATATTCATGAAATTAAATTAGTTAGGCTTTTTAATTAATATTTAAAATCCAACAGAGGCAGATTGTGGTGCAAAAAAACATTTTTTTCTGCACGTTCGGGAGCAAGTCGTTTTCCATTTTCCTCGTAAATTAAACCTACCTAGGATAATAGTCTTTCTGAATAAACAGAGCTTGCTGGTGTGATTAAGTATCGCTTAGCAAGCTTACTTAATATAGGAAATCTATTCTTATTAGTACTCAAAGTCCACCATTCATATGGGTATATTTTTCTGTCAGCCTTTGCTAATGCGATGTAGTGGGCGATTTCTTCAGCAGTGGCATTCTTGGGTTGCTCTTCAGTAGGTTGTTCTATAGATGATTCTTCAAAACATGCCCAAAATAGTTTATGAGTTTCCGAATCGACATGCTCACTTTCATTGTCTAAACGAGACCTTTTGGATGCCGTTTCTGGATCCGAATCATCATTTTCGTCATCTAAAGACAGTCTAAGACCTTCTCTGAGCACAGCTCTACGGATCCGTTTAACTTGGGTAGCGTCAAAGTAAAAGTCCCTGTAGCGGGGCGGGGGTCTAAAAATGTCGACAAGTATGTGTCTTCCTACAAAAAATTAAAAATATTTTTAATGTTTTTATGTCGAATAGTAATGTCGAGTTACTCGACTATTCGCCAAAGTGAATGGCGATTAATCGGTATTCGACTATTCGCTATAACGACTATTCGTGGCAACTCTACTTTTTATCGATGTTATGTTTTTGTTGCTGTGGTCAAAGCACTCATAAATATACTGGAAAAAAGGATTGAAGCACAAACTTTAAAGTGATGCTAGCGCATCAGACGGCGAACTCCCTAACTAAAAAAAACGACAAACGAAGCCTCACATATTGATTTTGACATTTTACATTTTTTCGTATCGTACTTTTTAAAGATACTTGGATATGGAGATGTAGGATATTGGGATCCGCTTTTCAATGCTTTTATATTTGAAGGTATTTTGGAATTAAAATATTGCACTATTTGAATTTTTTTATTTTTCAATTTTGTTTTTATAAGGCTTTTAATTGCATAACAGGCAACATCTTATTTTGTAGGCAATGTACATCTGTGTCTTTTAGGATTTTATTAATAATATTACATCAATTATGGATAGACATTATTAAAGTATATTCTAAAAAGGAATCTAAAACCACATTCTTGTGAACCGCGCACTAAGGAAATCAAAGATATACTTGGAGCGCATTTTTAATTTCAGCGTTTTTCTTAAATTACAGTTTTGACGCTGATCTTCCAAGTATGTATTTGTTTCCTCATTTATTATACCAAAAAACCTCACTGCTTGCTCTGATGGGTAGGTCAATTTCTTTGTTTTAATACTTTTATATTATCTTATGGAAATCCAATTATTTCATGATGTCAAGTTGTTTTCACAATCCATGCATTCTATTTTATTTAATACTAGCGGCCGCCCGCGACTTCCTCCGCGTTAACTTTAGTTTTTTTTAATCTCTCCAGAAACTGGATCGTTGAAATTATAAAAGATACAAATCAATCAAAAGTATGATATAAGCACTGGAAATCAATTCCTAAATGAAGTCGTTGAGACACAACCATCAGCAATAGCCCAAAAACACATAAATGTGAAATGATATCCCGTCTTTTTGTAAATTAGAGGTGTTTGATCTTTTTTTGCACTGTTGTCACTACGATAACGATTCTCACACTGTGGAAATCTATCGATTGTAAGTAGGTTTTATGAACGTACAGGATTATTTGATCTTATACCTTGACAGAGGGGAAAGATCTTGCGAGGCTAGCCCTGTGGTTTAATGGTCTAATAGGAATTATATAAAGTCTTTGGTCACCACAGTGTATGGTATCAAAGGGGGTGGAGAGTGCGACAGAGGGGGTAAAGAACTGTCAAAATCGATATGTGAGCCACAGAGTCGAACGACAAAAAACAATGTTCGAAGATTGTAGCCCGTGGATTTATTTGAGTTATTTTGCCATGTTGTGCTGTACACAAAACACATGATATATCTATCATGTGTTTTGTGTTTTAAATTATATATAATTTATGAGGAGTTATTGGCGGGATTTCATCGAGTGCGGTTGGCGTCTTATTTTAATTATTCTTAAATTCGTTCATAGTGGATATTGTGAAATAAAATTGGTGTGGTTTTGTGTAACAACTGTCTGCGTAACTGAAGAATTAGTGGAATCGTTAAAATATACGCTATTCCGGTCAAGTGGACGTGAGAATTTTATTGTAGTGTTGACTACCTCACAGAAGCTTATCGAAAAAGCCAACTCGATACATTTCGTGCCAAACACTCCAAGAAACATTAGAATGCGTCACACCGACATTCTAATGTAAAAACAAAAAGAAGATTAATTTAATTAAAGACTAGGCTGTATGGGCACTGTTCCCTTTGCCTTCCTTAAAACGGGAGAAAGTCAACAAAAAAATATTTAATTTATGACATTTAGTCCTAATTTTTACGATTACAGTTCGGTTTGCTTGCATTTATTGAAAAATCGTAAAAAAATCAACAAACTATGAATCGAAAGGATAAAAGAGAAGATGAAGATGGTGTACTCAGCATCTTTCAGAATCTAGATAAAACAACGCTGATTCAAGAAGCAAGATATTTCAACTCAACACCAGTGTACCCACGAAAATGTATTCATATTTTAACGAAAATAATTTTTTTGTTGAACCAAGGGGAGAAACTAACCACCCAAGAGGCAACCGACATGTTTTTTGCAACGACGAAACTATTCCAATCCCAGGATATTGTTCTACGTCGACTGGTTTACCTATGCATCAAAGAGTTGAGTCCTATGGCTCAAGACGTGATTATCGTAACTTCTTCGCTTACCAAAGATATGACTGGCAAAGAGGATTTGTACCGAGCATCGGCTATTCGTGCGTTATGTTGTATAAGCGATAGTACAATGTTGCAAGCTATAGAACGTTATATGAAACAAGCAATTGTTGACAAGAACCCTGCTGTCAGCTCTGCTGCTTTGGTGTCTACACTGCATTGGTCTGCTAGTGTCCCAGACCTAGTGAAGCGATGGGTGAATGAGGCACAGGTAATACATTATTGCATTGCTCTTGAAAAATAAAACATGTACAACTTTACTCAGTGATGTACTATCATGTGTTTGAACCTCAGATTAAAACAAAAAGGGAAGATACAGTCCGCTCTGTTATGTTAAAAAAGCTTATAAGTTGGAGAAACAATAATTAAATTTTAAAGAAATATGGATAGGTTGAAATAAAATTAAAAAGTACTCAGACGCCAGACCTACCTCAATATACTCGAAAGCAGGGCATTGAACTATTAATCGGAAGAGGGGTTGAAGCATATTACTAACCCACTCTGGGTTGTCTATATATTGAAATTTCTGTCTATTTGACAATGATTTTTCTTGAATTTAGAAGCTAGGTCTAATTATTATCTTATATTTATAATATTTACCTGAATTTTACATAGTGGAAATATTACTACATAAACTATATCCAGCTTTATTATATATTTTACTATTGATTTGACAATGTATAAAAACTATTGGTAATAGTATATTTGACAGTATGAAAAATTACTTCAGTTATTTCGTGATTATAGCGCCAGAGTACCAATAGTTGGCATCTGTATTTTATATAAATAGTAGCAGAGATTTTACTATTCTTAAGGGAACAAATATAAAAAAATATTTACTTATAAAATAATGAAATGAAATTATTTTTTTGTGTCCCATTGTCATGTGATTGAAAACGCCTGGGAATTGCAACAATTTTTTTTTTAAATGAAACTATTGATTGATGTCCACAAGTTTGGCCTTAAATCCTTAAATTTATGTTTTTCCCATTGGATATTACCTATATCAGTAACAAGTGTTTTTTTTATTATAAATTGGGGTTTTCACGTTATTTCAACCAATCACTCTCAATCTAACTCAATAATAATAATTACTGATTGAACTTATTCTTATATTATATTGAATTGTAGGTATTGTGTAACTTACACAAGCACAACATTCTTGTGACAGAAAGTACACACTTCCTCTATTTACTGAATGCCTGTTAGTTAGGTACATTCATATATCTTTAAGACTTACAGACAACAATATTAAATACCCTAGATACACCACAAGTGCTCAAAATGTGACAATATCAAGAAGTGCTTGAACACGACTCAAGCACTTCTTGGTTCACAGTCACGCGCGGATCGCTGAGAAGTCAACATGCCGAAGAGCTCAGTGAAAAAATGCGAAATGAATACTTATAGTATGTAAAATATGACAGGTATCTAATCAATGTTTGTTATTTTAACGCATTTGAAGCAAATTATGTTTTAATACTTACTATAAACTGATTAAATAGAAAATATTTGTGTGCACACAAATTATTTGGTGGGGAATGGGGGTCTTCGGTACTAATTGTTTACACTGCTTTATTCATATAAATTACAAAATTAAATAAAATATTTAAATATGCGTGCCGTTTCGTATGGTAGTCGAGAGATGTGTGTGACGTTTAAGTTTCTCCACTCGGTTCTTCGCGTTCGTCCGCAAATGTCTTACTAGATGGCGCTAGTGGTCGGTAACATACCCCTGGACTTGGAAACTTCCATTTCCAACGAAAGACCATTTCTTGTGCTGCTGTTGTTCTGTGGTTGCTGGACGTCCTCTGGGTGGAGTGGTAGTGGGCACAATTTGGAAAATGACCTCTTCGTAATTCCATTTGCAGTACGGATGTCAGCCACGCGGGTAACTCCATCAGTACCTGGGTACACTTGAATCACACGACCCATTCGCGATTTGAGCGGTGGCAAATTGTCTTCCTTTATCAAAACCAAGCTGTCCAGTGGAATATCAGATCGATGTGATTTCCATTTGGTTCTCTGTTGAAGCTCCGAAACATATTCCCGTGACTATCTCTTCCAAAAATGTTGACGCGGCTGCTCAACGCGATGATAGCGGTTGAGTCGCGAGGTCTTCTCGCCAGTCAAATCATCGCCTGGTGGAGCAGTTAACGGTCGGCCTATGAGGAAGTGACCAGGAGTGAGAGGATTGAGATCGGGAGGGTCCATGGATAAGGGTGACATTGGACGGGAATTAAAGAATTAAAGCTTCTATTTGTATCAAAATAGTGCTTAGTTCCTCGTATGTTAAATTTGTATTGCCCACGATACGTCTAAGATGATGTTTACAAGACCTTATCCCTCTCTCCCACAGGCCTCCGAAATGGGGTGAATAAGGTGGTATAAAATGAAAATCAATGCCTTCATTAGCAGCATATTCGCCAATTTGTCCTTTATTATCATGAAAAAACAAAGACAATTCCTTAACGGCACCTACGAAATTTTTACCATTATCCGAATAAATAACATTCGGTTTACCCCGTCTACTTATGAAACGTTTTAGTGACAAAATATAATCTTCAGTGGATAGACTAGTAACAAGCTCTAAAAGAATAGCTTGTGTAAGAAAATAAATAAAAAGACATATATAACTTTTAACTAAGCGAGCGCCTCTGCCTTTTTTATTCAAAATCATTATTGGTCCAGCATAATCCACACCAGTTCATATGAACGGAAAACCAGGATCTAATCGTTCGGAAGGTAAGTTTCCCATTATTGGTTCGAAAGTTTTACCTCTCATTCGTTTACACACAAGCTCAGGCTCAGGACAGCTCCGAGTAACCACCCAATTTTCACGTAAACTTGATAGTAACAGTTGCGAACCAGCATGCATTAGTCGTAAATCTTCATGCCCAACCAATAAACTTGCTAATGATTGCTTACTAGACAACAAAATTGGATATTTTTTATTATAGTTAAAACTACTAGAATTTGAAAGTCTACCACCTACTCGAATTATACTGTGCTCATCGAGAAACACATTTAAACCGTAAATACAATTCAATTCCTTTGTATTTGTTTTTAATGGTAACTTGTTTACTAAACATTCGTATAATGTGGAGAATGACTGATGTTGCGCGCATCTAATTAATAAGTTCTGCGACGCATTCAACTCACTCGCAGATAAGAAACCGGTTTGGCGCATTGACGGCGCGCCGGACTTGCTACTGAACCGATTGCTATTCCGTATATTAGAAATAAATCGCAGTACATATGCCCATACACGTTTAAGGTTCTTGAATGATGAGTATTTATCGAATTGAATTATATCACACGGAGACAAAGAGGCAAACATAAGAGATTGCGATTTTAATTCTGGTAAATTATTAATATGAATGTAATTATCATGATTATTATTATTAGACAAATTATAATTATTACTTTGTAAAAAAGATGGACCACTCCACCACAAATCACAGTTAATTAATAAATCTATTGTAAGCCCTCTTGAGAGCAGATCAGCTGGATTTTTCTTACTGGCGACATGTAACCAAGTGGAGTTTTCAGTCAATTCGTTTATTTCAGTGACACGATTTTGCACAAACGTTTTTAACAAATGCGGTGACTTGCTCACCCAACCCATCACTATGGTAGAATCATTCCAAAAATAGATGCCAGTGAATTTTATCCTTACCGACTTAACTATTTTTTTATAAAGTTTTGCACCTACAAGTGCACCACAGAGCTCCAAGCGAGGTATGCTCACAGCCTTCAAGGGTGAAACTCTGCTCTTTGCACACAAGAGTCTCATGATCACTTCCGAATGATCATTATATGAACGTATATACGCGCATGACCCGTATGCACTCTCCGATGCGTCTGTAAATATATAAAGTTCTTTATGCTGTAAATAATCACTCATTACGTGACGTGGAATCCTTAATGAGTTTAAAATGTGCAAAGTTTTGACAAATTTATACCACAGTGACGCGATGTCAGATGACACTGGGTCGTCCCAATCAAGTTTACAAACCCATAACTTTTGCAATAATATTTTAAGTAAAATAACCGCCGAAGAAAGTTAACCTAATGGATCGTATATTTGTGAAATTGCAGATAGCATCACACGTTTAGTTAATTTTGATGTATGGAAGTATTCGTCTATCTTGGTGGTGTAGTACAACTCCTCAGTATCGTTATGCCAACCTATGCCAAGGGTTTGTTCGTCCTCAAACAGATGAGCTAATGAGGTACGAGTAATGTCAGTGTTGAACGTCCACTTCCGAAGTAAGAAACACCCACCCTGCCAGCTGAATGTCGTTTAGCGATTTACCAGACGTGGTTACAGAGCTACCATTAAATACTACTCGCATCTTAGTAGTTGAACTACTTTCCCTAAACACACCATGATGCGGTAAGAAAAAATTTACTTTATCAATATTTTCTATACGACGCATGTGACCTAAACTTTCATATTCTTTCATAAAATCACAATACATACGTTTATACTTGGGCGAGCGTTCCAATTTGCGTTCCAAAGAGAGAAACCTTTTTCCGCTAGACTGTACGAATCACCTAACGATTCTGGTAATTCTTTTAATGGAATACGTACCAAAAATCTACCATGAGAGTCTCGCTTTGTTGTTTGAGTAAATAACTCATCACACAGCTGTTCATCATGAGTGAGAACATTGCAAGACTGATGTATATTTTCTAATTCCCAAAATCGTTGGAGTTGCTCATCTAATGTGGAGTGAGTGAAATGACAATGTATATTATTACTATCGTTTAATCGCTTACTCTATAATGGTCCAGACAACAACCAACCCAACTTCGAGCTTTGAAGGTATGAGCCGTTTACTAATCGAATTTTATTATCGTTTAAAATATCCCAAAACAAATCTGCTCCTATCAACAAATCGATTTCCGACGGAGTGTGATATATGGGATCCGCAAGTCGAATATTATTGGGAATACGTATAAGATCGGTATTTATGCTAGTCGAGGGCAAACTGGATGTTATGCGCTGCAAGACAAAACATTTAACCTTTTTACTATAATCGTTTAATTTAGAACGTATAATAATTTCGCACAATTGATTTGACTGGGTCACAGATTGAGCGACTCCAGAAATACGAACAGTGGACTGTATACAAGACGAATTTATTCGTTTTCTTAAGAGCCCTTTCCCATTTTTTGCAATAAATCGCAATTTTTGAGCGCCTC